TTATAAATATTCAAATTTAAGTAACTCTCTATATCATTATTTTTTGACTAATTTTTTATAGAAATTACTTAAATTTAAGAGAAATATGTATCACAATATTATACAGATCAAATTAATTAATGTAAAAAATTTTAAATATCTCTTTTCTTCTAAATCCAAACTTTTATACTATATTCTATTTGTGTATCTATATTTGACTATTTATTTGCTTCTTTATAAATATAAAAATAAGTAGTAGTTCTACAAATATTAGTTTTAAAGTAATCAAAGTAAAAAAATATATTAAAAGAATAATATATAAGTATTTGAAAAGCTTGTTATTATTTATAAAGTTAAGAAGATTAATATTTTAATTACAGCATATAATTTTGATATTGACAAATTAATAATATTATAATGAATACCCAATGAGAAAAAGTTTAGCAATATACTATCAAAGAGTTAATATATTGATACTGGAATAATTACAGCCTATCTAGTGACTAAGAAAAAACTTATCAAGTAGATTCATGATTTTTAACTTAATAAGATTGATATAATAATAATAGTTATTAAAATATAAATAATTATTATTCTTGAAATAATCTATATAAATTAATATTTAGATGCTTTTAATAAATTTTGTATTTCAGATTGCTAGTTCTTTCTTTTTAATATTATACTAAAATTAGTTAAAAATTATTTAAAAATCTTGCTGAAAAAATTATTTAATTTCAAAATTTTGTAATTTAATCTTGATTATTATATAAATATAATTTTTTTATATTAGCAATATAAATGAAACTCCAGTTTACTTTAATATAACTGGTTTTACTATAATTGATATAAAAAATATAAAACTATTCATATTTGAACAACTAATAATAACAAAAATCAATTTATATATGTTCTAGTTATTATAACTGATAATAATAACTTTCATTCATGATAATTTTCAAAGATATACAAACATCTGCTAATCTTTCTCAAAATATTATGATATGAATACATAAAAAAACTTGGATAGATAAATATTTAATATGCAAGTAGATAAAGCAAATTTGAAATAAATAATCACAAATATTAATAATAAATAAAATACTACTTATTATAAATTTATTTGAAGAACATAAAACTGAATTAATATGATAAAAATACAATATTAGTAATACTTATTTGATAATTATTCCAGAAGATTTAATATCTATAGTATAATCTTTAGATTTTTGTATTAATAAACTATTTAAAAAGAAACTAAGAGAAAAATGATATTTATGAATAAGTCATGATAAATATCAATTTATTAAGAGTAAAAATTTAAAAAAGTCTGTATAAATTTAATATATTAATGATCTTAGAGATATGAAATGATATTTCTATAGAAATAATTATTAAATTATTTAAAAAATATGAAATTTCTAATATATTAAATGAAACTGAAGATGATTTATTATATAATTCTAATATAGAAATTAATAATATAGCTAAAGTAATTAATAAAAATGATAGTTCTGCTAAAGAATTAGAATATATAATAAATAATATAATAAATTTTGTATTAATTTATTATATAATAGTTTTTAATAAAGAAATTACTTATTTAATTTTTTTAAGACTTTTGAACTTGAAGAGGAGAAGGTTACTTATTCTTGAGAGTTGCTTAAATTTAAGCATTTATAGTATTTTAAATTTCATAAAAATTAAATTAATAGTTATAAAGATATTAGATTCAAAATTAAATAATTAAATTATTTACTATATAATTTTTATATTAATTTTAATTAAATTTTATATAGCAAAATTTATAAAATAATAGTTATTATTAGTAAAATTTTTTTATAAAAGATATATAATAAAAATTTTTATATTTAAATAAATTCCAATATTTAATAACTTAATTAAATAAGACAAAATTAAAATTTTATATTAAAAAAATAATCTATTAATATTTATCTGAGATAAAAAAATCTTTTTATATAATTCATATTATTATATTAAAATAATATTTATTAGATATAGTTTAATATATATATTTTTCAGATTTTTTAGATTTTTTCTAAAAGAATTGTTCTAATTACAAAATTTTATTAATTAAATTTTATTTTTAATTAGTAAAAATTTTTGCATTGACTTTGTAATAAAAATAATATATTAAATTACAACTAATAAACTTTATTTTGATATGAAAATAAAAATTATTTCTTAATAAAATTATATAAAGAGAAATTTTAATTTTATTAATAAATTTAGTTCCTAATACATTACTTTGGTTGCTACTGTATATTAAAATTTAAGTTTTAGCAAAAAATTAGATATAATCTAATAAAGATGATTATTAAGAAATTAAATTTTAAATTTAAATATCAAAATTTAATATTCAATATTTAATAACTGATTTATAAATTAATATAAATATTTTTATTAATATAAAAATACTTAAAATTTAATATAATTTTTTAATTATTTCTAAATATTTAATTAAAAAAATTAATATAAAAAGTTGCAAATAATTAAATATTTTGGCTTTTACTGTAATATATCTTTGTTATTCATAATAATTTATAATAAATTATAGAATTTTTTCAAGAAAATTTTCTTATAAAATCAGGAATTATTAGATATAATTATATATTATTTTTATTAATAATTTTGAAATTTATAGAAATTCTTTTTTATAATATTAAATTTTATCTATTATTAAAAAATTTTTATTATTATAATATTTTCTTTAACTTTTAATTTAATATTATTTGTTTATTATTTAAAAGTTATTATAATTATTAATAATTTATATTATACTAAACTTATTCCATTATTATATTTTAATTTTATATATTATTCAGAATCATTTTATTTCAAATTTATGTAATTTCAAGTTTAAAATACAATGTATTTTAATTCCTGGTGATTTTTCCATTTTCCAGAGATATATCTTTATGTAAATCGTTCGAATCATTAATAATATTAAAGTATTTTTTACCTTATCTTTTGATTTGTCACTATACTATTGTTCTTAAATTTCTAACGTTTTGTAATTTCTGTAGTAAAAGTTGTATCTTTGGAAATAATGGTCATATAATATAAAAATAATAATTAAAAAATTATTATATTAATTAAATATTTTATAAATAAATAACAAAATGCTATTTTATATTGGTTAAATTATTTATATCACTTAATAAATTTATTTTAATTTTAATTTTATTATAATCAATGAAATTAATTGATTAATTTGTAACCCTTTATCCAAAATCTTAACATATACCATAATATGGTATTTCAGTTACTTTGACCGCCTGTTCAGTGGTAATATCCTATGATTCTTTTGGCTTTCATTATTGTTAAGATAGTTAATCTAGGATGTAGTATATTTGAAAAATCTAATGCGTTACAAGAAAGAGACAATTAATTCATGACAAATTTGAATTAACGTTCGCACATCAACTCGTATCCAAAAAGAAGTGAGAACATTTGAAATATCAATTTTTTGAGTATAGATACAGACTAAAAATGTACATGTAAATGTATAAAGATATGCGAAATTCATGCGTGAAGAGTACATATTTGCGCATTTCTCATCACGAACTGCAATTTATAATTCTCGCGACAAATATTTAAAAAACAACAGCAGCTACTTGAAACAGATGATTTAACCAATCGAAAGCTTTCAAACCACTGGTGGTTTTCAAACTTGACAATGCGTCATCCCTGTGATGCTGACAATCTTTAGATGGAAGTTATACTGTAGTTGCAACTTAGCAGAGTTGTTTGGTTTAGAACCTGTAGCGGCTTATATAAAAACGGGAAACAGAATAAAATACATAACGTTCCTGAGATTCTAGCAGATTTAGAAAATTTCTAAAAACAGAGAAGAAAGGGAAACGATGAAAAATTTTTGAGTTTGGCATTATTGAATATGCAGGAATTTATACTATTATGTGACTATTTTTTGCTATTTTGCCTATTTTGCCTCGCATATTTTTGAGAAATCGAAATATAAACGTGTATGGATAGCAAATAACAGATGCATAAAAAAATAATGACTTAGTGAAAGCAAAAGAAATAAATCTAAATTATTTAAATATTCAGTATCGTATCTTTAAACACGTACATAACAGTTCAAACGAAAAAAATGGAACTAAAGAATATTCCCGTACATTAAATTTTTTTAACACGATTTTCAATAGGACGTTGATTGTTACTTTTCATCTTTGAAGTCTAATTTTATTGACAATTAAAGTGTACGATATTTTAAACATTGATATTGCACGAAAAAAAGAACGGTCATCAATCATGCCTAGATTCTATCTTTCATGCTCAAACTTCAAGAATAAAGATTATACCTGTTCAAAACCCATTTCAAATTTCAAATTTTTTAATTCTGTAATTCATCCAATAGGCGCGCGCAATTTTTCGTCAATAGCTACATGTAGATGTACATGCAATAGTAATGCACAAATTTTTCATCGAACCGACAGAACAAATCTGACTCAAAAAGATGAACAGTGATATTACGAGTAAACTGACACCTAAATCCTTAATTAGAAATATCGGGAAAGCAATTTTACGTATAATCTTCTCACACAATATCATGCACTTTCTTGTCTCTAATCGGACATAATGAAAATTCAAAATCCACGTTAGGAAATTTTGGTTCGGTAACAAAGCTTAACGTTAATACATGTTCATGAAAATTCAATCATGTGATTAAACCGTTTCAAGTTAATCCAACTTGCAATTTGAAACCACGACTTGACATTCTTACTTAGAATACTTATCAAATTGCAGGTTCAATATGTAATGAAGAAAATTCAAAAAACAAACAATTACATCTAGTTACATGTACAAAATATGTTCCTTGACATTTTATTGGTCAAGCCAATCACATTATTTGAATTTATCACCTATTTTTAGTACGGTAACGGTAGCACACAACGGACTTGATTTCATGTATAAAAGTCCGCGTATGCTTTTGAAGTACATCTATTACATGTACATGTAATTTGTAACTCATTGCAACTATGTCGCATTCTCATCAAAATACAATTCGTAGTCAAAAAGGTGCATCTTCCGCTACGGTTTCATTTACAAAAAAACCAGCAATTTTACTCGTAAAACACATACAAATTAGGTTTCGATCGAATAAACAATTTTTAAATTTATCGTTATCATTATGAAACGTTTGGCATTAACGTTAATTTTTTTTGCTGAAATCTAGTGAATTACAGGATAAAAACGAAAGGTCTAAGAAATTTTTATCATTTGGACCTAATCCTAGACCCAAATTGGAATTTTTTATAGATAATAATAGAAGACGAACGACTACAGAAACTAAATAGTAAGTAGTAGAATAATACATGTAAATTTCGATTTGTAAAATTTGAGGAGTCGTCAGTAAAAACTAGGCAAAAAATAAATAATTTTGCTTGGTTTTTACTGACCACATCGCATTTATGAATAAACATCACGATAAGAAGCGCTTCCTATATTTCAGCATTAAAAAGAAAAAGACCGTTTGGTCTGAGCATTTGACCTTTGAACTATCACCTCCAATAGAAGATACTTTGTTTGTGAAATGCTACGATATGAGTAGAAATGGTAATGATGGATTGTTTGGAGAATCTGAAGTAAAATTAAGTTCTTACGAGGGCCAAAGAGGAAAAGGTTTAATTAACTTTTGAATACGCTGACGAATAATGTGATTGCCTTATTCACATAATATTTTTGCTTGCCATATCCTAGTGAATTTGGTATTGCTCAAGTATGAAAAAGAAGTCGGAAAAGTATCTTTTGATATTTATTTTCTTTCCGGGGTAAGAAAATTTTAATCGTATTCTTTGCAAAAAAAAATGTATTAATAATTTATGATAAAACAAATTTCATAGTATCCGCCAAAAGATGCTGATCTAAACTTACGTGACGGGTCTTCGTCAAATGATATAATAGGCGTATTATTATTGAAAAACATTACTTGGTAAGGATAAATTTTTAAGAAAGTTATATTATTAAATTTGTATATTCAAGATCTGTTTTCTTTTTGACAGCAAAGGGATGAGCAAAAAAGGACATTTGGAATTCGTTTTCAATAATGGGGCTAAAACGCATACAACCGAGAAATACTGGAAAATGACACCAGAGATTTGTGAATACCCTATAGCATTTAACTTGGTCGCTAAAAAAATAAAAATATGCATTCAATATCAATATAGTTCACTACTCACTGGCTTTGCAAAAACAAAATTCGAAATCAGATCTGCTGAAACTTGGAGATCACTGATGGAATCGGGAACACTTAAATGTTTGTTTTTCCTTTCGATTTTATCCATGGAATGAAACTACGCTAATCAACTTATTTATTTTTATTGAGTGTAGCTGGCGATCTTGTATTTGTAGAAAACGGGTTTGATGCAGGATATACGAGATTTAAAGTATCTTTTCATGCACTGACTACATTCAAACAGATCATCAAAGAAAATTCTCAAGGTAAAATAGAAATTGTATTTAAAATTTTAGAATCAATTCCATCTTATAAACATGACCGCTAAATTGAATCAAAAGGAGTAGCACGGCAAGTTACGGAAACTACTTCAGAAACAAGTCGAGCTTCAAGTATAGTAAATTTTAACGAGAACAATGGTAAATCAATATCAATATAATAAGGATTTTCGGCTAACGTAGTGATACAGAAATCTCTGAGAATTATTCAATCTCAATATGCTGATAATACTTTGATTTCTAGTGCAAAAGATTCTCCAAATCGAACCAAAAGAAGAAACAAAGCAAATTACGAATATCGAGATTTCAAGTAAAGATCTCGGTCAATGTAATGATTATTTTTTTAGCATGTATTTATTAAACTGTTATAACACGAGTAGTCGTCGTTATTAATATAACTAATTATTAAAAGATCTAGCTGAAAAACCACAATCACCTATTCAAACGCGGAGTAACACGTTTACCTCAACAAGCTCCTTTGCAAACACATTTTCATCCGGCATCCGTAGCAATCCATCAACCGAAAATTATGGAAGCGTCAAAATTGTCTGCTCAAAATACTTAATATTATCTTCTGTTGAAAATAATCCGGAATATCGTCAATATAGAAATCGATTATATAAAGGGCACAATATCTATAATTTGGATCAAGTAATAATAAAAGTGTTTGAGCGTCAAACGTCGTGGGAAAATGAGAGAAATTTTCTTTGTAAATTAAATTCGAAATATGTCGTCAAATGGATAGATATGGAAATTAATCGTCATTTAGACGGTGGCTTTGTGTCTATTACCTCTTATGCTGGCGAGAATTTGGAAACAAACGAACTTATATTTAAGGACCCAATTGAAAAGAAACGAATATTATTAAGTATATCTAAAGCGACTGAATTTCTTCATGGTGAAAAAATTGCTGTAAGTCTAATTATGCAATTTTTCTTATGTTACAATTTTGAACTATTAAAATCCCGATTCTTTTTTAGCACCTCGATTTGAAGCCTGCAAATATTATTTGCAAGCCAAATAACTTACACAAGATACGCCTATGTGATTTCGAATCGGCGAAAAATTTTGGAGACTATCTACAATCTAATTACGATCATTTTCGCTCGTGTGGATTTAGTGCTCCCGAGATTGTGCAACATACTACCATTAAAGTTACCTCCGCTCAAGATATATTTAGCTTAGGTTGCATTTTCTATTTCATCCACACGAATAAACTCATTTATGATGATTTCGACGACTTGAGCGATTCAACATGTTCCGATTGGTTTCGTGGTGATATTTTCGACACGCAAGCCGCGAGTATTATTTTACGAATGTTAAATTGGGTACCAAGTGATCGTCCAACAATACAAGAAATTATAAACTCGGATTATTTTAAGGAAGGCTCAAATCAACTTAGCAGTGAATCATAAGTAAGTTTTTAATCATATTTGATGTAATAATGATTTCTTTCCACTCAAGATTGATTTGATTTCTATAATTAATTCGTGTGACTATGTATTGATAAAATCTTACCTCCAACACCGAATCTTCTACTGTGACTTTTTTATTCATTTAATCTATAATGACAAAAGATTTATTTTATCATTTGTGATTATTATTTATAGAGAAGCATTTAAAGAGAATATTTTTAATAGATAATTAGAACTCGGAATCAGGCTAGAGGATGTATTTAAAAGTGCAGAATATATATAAGAATAGTAATATTTGTTTATAAAGTACAGTGGTACCGGAAAATTTTTAAATCACATTTTCTCGGAAACTGGCATTTTATTTTTTTTCATTTTAAAAGAATAATAATACAAGTTTCGAGCAATATATAAATTAATAATTTATCATTTGCCATTCTCCCTAATTATCACCTCACATCTCTCCAGCATCAAATCAACTAAAGATTCTAATATCTTGTCTGGAATTCATTTCCATTCCTCAGCCATAAACATTTCCAACTCCTCCAAATCTTTCAGACTCTGGTCCACAAATTTTCGATAGGATTTAGATCAAGACTATTCGATAGCCAATCCATAATGATGAAAGCTATTGAGCTGGTAATTTTTTTCGGTTTATCCTGACCTTTTTTTTTGAGTCATGTTCCCTTTTTCTTCCAATTTTTTTAAGTTGTGATAGATAGTGAATAGACCAATATTTTGTTTTTTGCTGTATTTTCCTGGCTGTCCTTACACCATTATTCCACAAATGTAGAATTACTTCACATTGTTCGAAACCCCTCCATTTTGTGATGTCATTGCTGGTGAGAAATATAAGAAGATGGTAGGAAAAGACAATGTGTTTCCCAGGTCTGGTTACATGTGTTAGATTTTTGTAGTCACACCACATCAGATGATTTTTATCACGTGAAAAAATTTCCGGTATGTGTAAATAACCTTTGATTTTAATATTATTTATTTACAATTGATTTCAAAGGATATCTGCTTCCCTGTGGTCTATATGAGTGAAACAGTTGTCAAACCCGGCTTCGGTGTTTTGCACATTTCTAAATAGCCTTTGGTGCGTCCCATGAGATCCCTCGTGTGTATGACCGTGTGAAAGTTACGTATATGACATGTAATCTGCACTGTAAATTTCGCATTTATGGTGTGTAAGCCTCGCGTAATATTATTACAGTATTTCTTCCTCCTCTAATTTTAACCCGCTTTGTTAATGGATCAAGTATTTAATAGGGTTTTCTGATTCATTTCTCGCTTTTTTTGCCCAAATTTGATATGTTATCCTTTCATATCAAATAAACCGCAGATTATGCTTTGAAGAAACATTATCTGATTCCAGTGTTTTAGATAACGAATCGTTATATCTTTGAATTTTATTTTTCGTATATCTGATTACGCGTAAAATAACTTGAAGATTTCGTTTGTTTTAAAATAAATTCTTTTTAATATTTTTAATACCTTCGTAACTTTTCAATACGGGTAATCTTAGTTTTTCACTTGATGAACGCATATAGTGCCATAATTTCAAAATTCCAAGTGTCAAGTTGCTACATGTATTTGTATAACCGAATAACTTTAGACTGAGTCCGATGACTTACTTAGTGAAAAGTATTTATCAATATTCTTGTCTCAATAAATAATGCACAGGAGATCAGTGTTCATGATTCATACATGTATCAGTCTTACTCGTATATCATTTAATTGAATAATTAACGATAAAAAGGGGCTGCTTCTATACACGCGTTTTTTTTAAATAAAAATGCGAAATAAAAAAGCTGCTGCTGCCAGCATAGTGGTTGTGCTACATTCTGATTCTGATAGCAGTAAAAGTTTTATTGGAGATTGTTGATGTTGAATCTTTGTCGCAAAGTAATGAGAAAACCTACATTGTAATAAAAGATAATTAAGAAACGGATGCAAAAAAGTTAATCCGATGGATGTTTATTCGACTTTTAGCCAAGCAATTGAAGTCATGCAAGAAAAGATATTGAGAATCATGATGAAAACAATAAATCCTAGTCAATCAGACAAAGGCGGTGAGGATGTAAGTGATGAATTCGAAGAGGTAGAGGCTCCATACAGTGGCATGCAAAAATAACGCACCACTTGCATTGTCGATCTTTAATCACGTAATTCTCAATCACAAAAGATCCGACAAACATGCAAGTGATGGAATAAGCAATCGGTTTATAAATCATTAAAAAACGACCTGATATTATTTGCTGTAAACTTTTTTTCATTTAATATTTTATTAAAAAGCTAACAAACAAATAAAAATTTTATAAACCATTATTTTTACCATCTCCTATAACCACCCCCACGCTTTAATTACATCATATTAATTCATTATGGCATTTTATTAATCAAATCAATACAATAATTGATTTCAATATTATCCCATGCCTCTATCTTTTCCCATAAATCATTCTTATTAGTGATTGTATCCAGAAGTTCATGAAGATGAAGATTCACTTTCCACCAGAGATTTTTGATAGAATTTAAATTGGGTCCAGCTTAATATAGTCACATAATTATTAGCAAATCACTTCATTATCTTATCTGCAATATGTTTAGGATCATTATCCTGTTGGAAAATTATATCATTTAGCTTTAAATTATATAAATCTGAAGAGAAAATTAATTCATTTGAAAGAATTTGCTGGTAATATTCACCATTCATTGTTTTAACAATTCTACAAAGATAATCAATATTCTGAATACCAAAATATTCTCATACTATTATACTGACATCATCAAACTTCATTATAGATTAAATATATGAGCTTTTTAATAACTTTTTCAATAATACTAACATATATTTGATCCAAATATCTGAAATTTTGATTTATCAGATTATATAACTTTATATCAATCATCAAGTTTCCAGTCTTTATATTTATTTGTAAAGTCAAGTTATTTTTGGTAATATATATCTAATAAATATAACTTTTTTCACTTTATCTGTATTATTAAATTATTATTATACAATTCTCTATATATTATACTTATATTCACATCAATTTCTTTAATAATTAATAGAGAATTTTGAAGTTAAATAATATTAATATATTTATCTATTGTAATTTAATAAATAAGAGTTTATTTATTATATATAGCAAGTTTTTAAAGATGATTAATTCAAGATTTATTTTAATATTATTAGTTTTTTGATTTTTTTTTAAGTCTTAGTATAATAGAATGATAAATATTAAAGTAATAGATAATTTTTATGAATATTATTAAGTAATATAATTACTTAAGCATATTTTTCTAATATAAATTATATAGTTTTTTAGAAAAATATACAAATTATATAAAGTAAGTCTTGAAAATTTTTTTATTATTACAATTTTTTATTTTCATAATAATAAAAGTCTTTCTTAACTCTTTCTATTTATATTAAAATA